TCACTCACACAATGCAAAGCTCAGCTGAAATCAAACGCACTATACCCACCTATTTGTATAATATAATGTATGTGTCTATATATCAGCTGGAAGTATTGATCCACTACATGGGCGAGGAGGCGCGCGAGGCGGAGGCGGCGGAGGGCGGGGAGGCGGCGCGGCGCAGGGTCGAGGCTCGTCTGCCGCTGCTGCTCAGGTGCTGCTCCACGCCGCAGGCTCTACTCGCTGCCGCCCTGGCCGCCTCCGACACGCACCCCCTACTACTGCTGCTGCTATACATGAAGGTCATGACAATATTATACTCTAATGTGGTTAATTACTGGGTTTGAAAAGAAACGTCTGTTTAGCTTTAAGTTGTATTTAATAATAATAGAAGATTTAACATAACATAATGAAAGCTTAGGCCAATGGGTGGTCCACCGTATTTGGATGTATACATGAGATGTTTTATAAAGGAGACTTTACACTAGACTTAATTCTATAATATATATCATACACACTATATTTATTACACTTCAGTACTTAACATGAACTACCTCGTGTTAAGAGTGTTACAGACACACACAGAAAACAAATATACTAGCAAAGAAAGATACAAGCACGGATATTATATAAGTTACATTTCACTAATACCATCTTTAGAATTAAAATCATGATCAATTTTTTTTTACAATTAATATACCATGACACGAACAGGTCCCCAAAGTGTTACACTTGCTCCGCTCGTGTGGTGAGCGTCCGTCCGTGTTGGAGGTGTCCCCGGCGGCGGGGAGGGCGGCGGCCTGGCGCTCCACCAGCGCCACCGACAAGGTGTCCCACTGTCTGCTCACAGCCCTGGCCGCGCCGCATCACCACTCTAAGGAGAACTCACAGAAGTAAGAACATATCATCACATACATACTAATTAGACTGGTCTTGATCACATTTTTAGTCATATATCACGTCTGAATATATATATTTATACAGGGTCAGATTGAAACTATATATTTAAGGACGTGCTGAATATATATTTTTTTTATATATGAAGATAGGACCAGTATAAAGATATTCTAGCAACACTCTGTATATACAGTGCAAACTCGATATAACAAATTGGAGAGGAACAAGAAAATATTCGTTATATCAAGTAATTCGTTGAACTGAGGTTTGTTATGTTGAGGTAAGTTTGGTCTAAAATTCGTTATAAAAAGTTCGTTATTCGTTATAAAGAACACCTTTTACGCTTTTGAGCCATTTTAACTTAAAACTTTAACAATAGTGACGAGCAGAAGTGTTTACATTACTTTTCATCAAACAACGATTACTTTACGAACAAAAGCGTGTCGAAACATGTCGAGACATGAATTACAATATAAGGTTAAGAGTTATATTATTATTGTTGGGAATTTTATATAAAGGTGTTAGGTTGACAAAATTCATGAATTAGAGGTATGAATACATTTTTTTGATATTTGAAAATTCGTTATAAAGAGGTTGTTCGAAAAGAATATCCGGAATGTAGAGGTATATTTTATATCGACTCGTATGGACAATTCAAGGGGATGACGAAAAATTCGTTATATTGAAGTACGTTATATTAAGGTTGCACTGTATATGACGTCATATATCATGTAGGCTGGTGCGTGTGGAGAGCGAGGTGCGGGCGGTGTGGTCGCGGGTGCAGGGCGCCGGCCAGCGGGGCCTGTCCCTGGCGGGGGCTCTGCTGCGGGGGGCGGCGCCTCACGGACACAGACACGCACACAGCCACCTGCTGGCCGCCATCGAGATGCTGCCCGATGAGGAGCTGTTCGCGACACACGTCTGGTATACTATAACACATTATCTATTCTAGGATCATTTACTTGTACTTGAATAATGCCCAAAAATACTTATTCGATTTGCATTATTAATCGATATTTCCTAAGAAATTTAGATTTACACAATTTAAAAAAAACTAACTTATTTAATACGACCTTATAAAAAAACAACGTGCTTGCTTTTTACACCAAAACGAACTGTTTTATTCGTAGACAAAACTAAACTACTACATGTGTCTTACATATTTACCACTAGATGGCGCTAGTTGTATTATTTTTATATAAACTAACACCTTAAACCAAAATAAAGATTTTTTTCTATGCAGTGACGAGGTGCACGGTATCCTGGAATGTTTCCTGGGCACGGTGAAGCAGGGTAGCGGCGGAGGCAGCCTCGCTCACCGCGTGGCCGCCCTGCTGCGACGATACCGCGCCGCGCGCCCTGCACGAGCCGCCGCGCTGCTGCACGCACACCGGGACATCATCGCGTGAGAAATATGTTACCTTACATTACTGTCCATATAACATTTCCTCTATATAGTATTGCTAGAAGATCCGGCGAACTTCGTATCGCCCTATAATCAAGAAATATCTGTTACGTTCTTTTATTTATATTTTTGGAGTTCACCTATTAAAGCCATAAATCTCCGTGTTTTGAAGTGCGACAGAATGATTGACATATTAGTTAGTTGTAAAATCTAATGTAAAATAACGTTTGTATCAACAACTACTAATAAATTCAAAATTATTTATCTATAGAAGAATTCGCCTACATATATTAAGAATCTAAACCATTCCCAGATCCCCTTGAACATACACAAAAAATTTCATCAAATTCGTCCAGTTGTTTGAGAGAAGTTCAGTGACATACACACTCATAGAAGAATTATATATATAAAGATAATATTTCCTGTACATAGTATTACATATTAATATTACCTCCATCAGTTCCAACCCCGCCCTGAGCGGCGCGTGTAGCGCGGAGGGTGCTGCGTCCTCGTCCCCTCCACCGCGGGCGCTCCTCGCCCTGCAGCGCCGCACCGCGTCCCCTGACGAGCTACACTGGCTGCTTCAGGTTGAGAGACTTCATTATATTATTGCTGTTCAGTAGAAACTCGATTACCCGGCCCTCAGTTATACGGATTCGCGACTATCCGGATTACGGACAAGTCTGGACAAGAAAGAATGTCAAAGCGTAAAAGAGTGGTGTTGTTGAAAGTGGCGTAAGTCAATTGACAATTACTAGTCCGGTTAATCGAGTTTCTACTGTATCTATACTAATATTATAAAGCTGAAGAGTTTGTTTGTTTGTTTGTTTGAAAGCGCTAATCTCCGAAACTACTGGTTCGAATTGAATAATTCTTTTTGTGTTTTATAGTCCAGTTATCGAGGAAGGCTGTGGGCTATGTAACATCACGCTAATGGTACCTAATTTGTTTAAGTTGTATCAACATAATAATATTAATCTTTATTCAAATAAACAAATAAATATGTTGTTGGTTAAGAGTACTTCATTGTGAATTAAAAAAAACATAGGTTTTATCCTGAAAATTCTACGGGAACTCGACCATTCCGAAAACCCCGCAAGAACGGGAACTATGTTGAAAGAACCAAAAATCTGCCGTAAGGCACTATTCCACGCGGACGAAGTCGCGGCAAAAGCTAGTTAATATATAAACTTCATACAATCTCTGTTGTGTACTTTAATCATTAATGAAACTACAATATTGTTTTGTATGTTTGAAATAAATTTTGAATAATGTAAATTTTATATACAAACTTGAATATGCTCGCGTCTTTCATTGCGTGCATTTGGACGTTTACATAATGTAAAATAAACATGGTAACAAACTGGCAACGCCATCTACAGTCTGTTATTAGTTACTTCTGGTGGAACACAATTTTCATGTCGTGTTTCTTGAGGAATACGGAACTTTGGAATTGACTACAACCTATATGTTATCCCAAAGTCAAGAGATCTGATTTTGATTGTGTTCCAATCACATTATAAACAAAAGGCACAAACAACCACACAGACTTGCACCTGTATAATTCTGGTAGGATTTCATTAGGAAAGTCTTTATATTATATGTAATAAAAGTGTCATATTAAACTCTGTAAAATTTTAATATATTTGTATTTTACTCGAAATAGTTATATTTATATATAATCATTATTTTTTACGTCCTTTCATCACTATATATATGTTATCAGGAGGTGGAGGCGTGGGGCGTGCGTCGCGGCGGGTCGTGGGGAGGTTCAGGCGGGGCGGACGCTCTGTTGCGTGCGGCGGCTCCTCTGGCGGCCTCACCCCACGCTCCTCTGCGTAACGCCGCACTCTCTCTACTAGCCAAGCTCTTACCCGCCGTTCCCGATACACACCCCGGTAAGTTTATGATACATATTGTCGACCGCCTCATCTTATTTGACGTTCTAAGTCTAACTATTTGTTATTCGTCACCATTCATTCTAGCTTTGTCATACTATTTACTGTACTAAATCAGTCTATATTCCACAATCTCATAAATGAAATTAACAATCAGGTCTCCAAGCTGTTCTGGAGTGTCTGGACTCAAGCCAGCCGGAAATAGCTCAGTCCGTGCTGGACAAACTTCCGGAGCTGGTGGTGGGGATGCAGGAACACGCGTCACGACTCCTGATGCGGGTCTTCGAGATGGGCATGAAGTCTCGGCTGCCGGTGGAACAGTGTATCGCCAAGTGTGTGGCTACTATTAACACCAACCGGGGCTGCTGAGAACAACTTATACCCCTAGTCCTGTTCAGGAATAGGTATAGTACCAAGTAGAGGTGCTTCAATGAAATTGTAAACAAAATTACAATCAGAAAAAGCTAAGCAAGGACTTGTAAAGTTAATGTAGAAGTGTATATGTTACATGTGTATTTTATGAAAAGGAATATTTGTTATGTACAACAAAAAAACTATGTTAATATATTTTTAATAACACTTATAATAGTTTTAATGGACTTGGATTCCTTAAACAAAGTGAAAATGATATTCTTTTATAATTCAAAGTGAAGACAAAAATAAAATACTGTTTCATACATTTTTATTTAATAATAATTTACCATAATCTAAACTTATCATTTAATATTTTGTGTATAATTATCATGTACATATTAAATTGATAAATAAATATATTGCAATAGAGCATTGGACATCTCATAAGCACAGAAGGGCTCTTATCACCAGTCATTATTGCCGAGATCAGCAAAAAGCTTGTCCTTAATTTTCGGTCGGGGATCTTCAGTTATTGTAGTGTTCACTGCTCCCACCTTACCTAATATGTATTCAAGTTCTGAAACAACAGAAAACTATTTTAGTAATATCCTAATATACCTTTGCAAAAAAATTATATTAATCGTACACAATGGTAGTATTATCATTATCATTAAAAAGCACCCTTACAAATACAATAAATATGATCAAGATCTTACCATCACAAGTCAGAGAGGTCCCTCGTAGTTCATGAGGCCCAATGAACTGCTTCTTCATGTCACCCTCAAAATATACAAAGAGACTGGGCAGATTCCTCTCGGGGAAATTTGGTATACATGTCTGTGCGAATGCCTTCAAGAACTTTGTGTATGGATACTTTGCTGCTAACTCTTTCATATGCTGGTTAATTAGGGCACATTGCTGTATGCTAAAAAAAATAATGATGCCATTAAAAAGACAATCAAAATAGTGTCTCAAAAATAAAAGCTCTTTTAATATTGTTACTGTATTGCATAAAACAAAACTAAATTTCTTGCTCATCAAAGTTGTTTTTTTATTTCTACAGGGTGACTGGTGAATTACTATCAATAAAGGAAAACTCTAAATTTCATTTGAATTATGTAAAAAAAAAATGCTCATCGTATAAATAAATAAAAAGTTTATTAATATTTATGTTATATTTTTTTATTTTTCTGATCGTCAAATATCACATCCTCGAGTATCGATAGTAATTCACCAGTCACCCTGTATATAAATCATATACCACATAATTTTGTGAAGTCGCCTAACAGTTAATATAATTTGATAGAACTGTTATTCAAGATATAAAAACCTAATTAAAATTCATTTTCTTTGTATGCTTGCTTGGTCAATCAGGTCAACAACCCATTTAACAGTTTTAATGTTACTAATTGATTAAAGAAAAATATTAATTTAATAAAATCTCACCCCTGTTTATACAAATGTATGACGACCCAGATGCCTTCACCGGCTTTATTCACTTCTTGTACATATTCCTGGCCTGAGACTTCACGAACTTCACCGAATTTGGGTTTTTCTGATAATCTTTTCAGTTCAGCTATCCTTTTTCTTCTGTATTCTTCTAAAACTGCTTCATCCTCTGAATCCTCTAATTCATCCAGACCATCCAAGTCTAATTCCGACAACTGCTTTTCCTCTGTGGAAAGGAAATTATGAAGTATTTTACAAAAGAAAACCAAAAGCAACAGGTGTACATAACCAATAAATATAAGGAAACAACAGTTTATATAGTATTTACTTTCGGCTTGTTTTTTCTGAATTGTTTCTTCTATCATATTAACGATTTCATCTTCAGAGACCTCCTTCTCTTTCGGAGGTATAATACCCTTCGAACGAAGGATATCGTTCCATTCTGTGTCTTCATTAGGATTCTATAAATTAAATGATAACAACACATTACTGCAATAGCTGGCAAAAGTAATAAAATACTTTAAATATCGTTATTAGTGATGAATACCTGCATGCTTCCTGTATTTTATTCGAATACAATATTTACAATTTAAAGTAGCTTCACCAGCACACTCAAGAAACTTGACACCGATTTGGCAATTTCTAAAAATGAATCATATGTCACTGCTTGCAAAACAGATTATTATAATTTAATAAAATATATTTATTTTTCTTTTTTTTATTACCAAAAATTGTAAGTCATTATTTTAATAACTTTATTTATATATTTAAAAAAATATGTACAGCTTCTATGCATCTATATATTTTGTTTGATGATTTATGAAGTATCATTTGACAGTGACACGTCTTTTTACTTTAGGTTGTCAACTTGCGTCGTGTTGGAAAAATTGTATGTCGCTATGTTCAGTCAAGTCAGGTCTCGAAATAAATAAAATTGGTCATGGCTGATACCGAGGGACATAAACATCGGGAAACTAATTTCCATGAGGGAGAAGGTAATAATTATTAAAATATTATTGTTTTGAACGCGTTTTTCGTCAGTGTGTGGCGCGAACGGCGGTTACGTCGCTCGTCAGTTACCCTCGTGTAAGTTGTGACATTGAAAATGGGTTCTTTTTATAATTGCTGCCTGGATTCTGGTGCTGGTCCCCAAGGAACACAGTGTGTTATCTGGCTTACACTTTGAATGACTTTCGGCGGGAACCGAGCGAAAATGACGGGGGGATCAGAGAGGATTCTCACTGAAGGTAATGTTATTTTTGTATTAATATTCAAACGATATGTTCGTTTGTGATCACTTTTATATCCGCGTAGCGTCAAATTACCAACAAGTAGGACTTTCAATTGAGCAAAGCAATAAAACAATTATCAATTCATCAACAAAACAGCGGACAATAAGCGACAATAACAATGGAAACATGATTTTATAAAATACAGAAATGCAACAATGTCTTTGTTTAATACAAAGATTCTATGTTCATACATAAAATAAAATTACCATAACACTCAGTATTGTTCATGTCACTCAATTAAAGTTCCTTTGAACAATATTAATGAATAATTGAATTTTAAATCAGAGCTGCAAAATTAATTGTAAAGTAGTTTCTTGTTGGACTATAATGATTCTAAATGTATGTAAATATTTGAATATTATTAAACATATGTTTTGATAAACAGTAAATAATACAATTTCCATTAATTACTACAAAATTGATAACTAAGTAAGAAATAATTTTCCTACAATTGACTCTTAGATAACACATATATATATATATATGTTGTTCTTCATAATTATTATCTACTTATTAGCTATCATGCACATTTTTTGTCTCAGAACTTATGACATTGTAATTATTTTGTTGTTTTCATAATTTATGTTACATAAAGATTTGTAAGTGAATATATTTTTTAGTACAGGAAGTGATGTTTAATATCTGTGACATTGGTATATGTAATATACTATCTAGGAGCGATCATTCATTTGGAAACTTTAATGTCAACTTCTGTTCCGACGGGATTTATTTATGTTCCATATTGACAATTCAGTTGTCATGGAATTATAATATTATTTTATTATTGTTTTTGATATTATACATAAAATTTTTTGAATACATAAAAGTATTTCACCATCTTTTTCATTTTACATTGCCACTAGCCACTAGTGCCCGCGACTTGTTTTGCGCGAATAGTTTTTCGTCAATATTACTTAAAAATAATAATTTATTAAATAAAAGTTAAAATAAGTTACTTCTTATATCAAAGCTATTGATAGAGAAAGTTTCGTCGAATTGTGTCCATCTATTAATCTAAGAATGAACAGACAAAAACAAAAATTATATATTTTTTTATACGTATCGTGTACATACGTATTTATGTATTTAGCAGAACGCCGTTATTTTAGCGATACAAATAGACATTCTAATTTTATTCATTAGTATAAATATCTATGAAGCATACAATTTATGATTCTGTATCTTGTTCTAAATATTATATATATACTAGCTGACCCAGCAAACGTTGTTTTGCCATATAAAAAAATAGGGGTTAGTGATAAAAAACTAAAAATTTTGGGTTGTATGTATTTTTTTAATGCTACATAACAAAAAATTTCGTCCCAAAATAAAAATAAATTGTGTGAACAACCCTTATGACTTAGGGGTATAAAAAATAGACGTTGGCCGATTCTCAGACATACTCAATATGCTCACAAAATTTCATTAAAATCGGTCCAGCCGTTTCGGAGGAGTACTGTGTCTAACACCGCGATATGAGAATTTTATATATATAAGATATTATAAAAATCAGTTCTCACAAAAACTTCAACCTTGCCTGTATCGATATGTCCAGTTCGTGTATCAAGTATGTGACGAAGGTAGCTCGGAGGTTGAGAGGCTCGACTCACGGAACTGGTTTGTCGACTCCGATCTGAACGATTTGCATTGTGAACCGCAAAAACTATTGATTCTTATACAAGGTGATGATATATTTATACAAGGATCTTACTTCCTTTGTTTTTAATCCAAATATATGTATATGTTTAAATGAAACTACTATTGTACGGATTATACGCCTATCTATTTTATTATTGTAAACTACATACTCTCGAAGTTTCGGTTACTTTTCAGTTTTCAGCAACCGTGATCACGGACAGACAAGATGTGAATTCACAAATTTAATTAAATTACGCGTAGTATAATCCGATAATATTAGTTTCATTTAAATGAATACTCGCGAAAGTCTTGGATCTCATATGTATATGTATCTTTTTTTTATCTTTTTATTTTCAACGTCCGGTGATTCGATCTAGAACTCGTGATAAATATATATATCGAAAATATTCTCAATATATCTGTTTTCGTATACCTAATTAATTTTTTGATTGAAACGGATAAAAATATTTCAATGATATTCAATACTTATCAGTTATGATCCGATCTGACCCTGGCTTGTGGTGATACTAATTTATTTATTGTATATAATATGTTTATTTGTTTGTTACTTAAATTACGTAAATCAAACAAAAATTTTAAGAATTTCTTTTCAATATATTTATTTCAAAATTGACTAAATTTCATATGATAAATTAAAAGGTGAGCAAAGTCAGTGTTAAAACTTATACGTGCTCCCTTCCACGCGTAAATAATTTTTTTCGTGTGTGTATTGTCTCGTGAAATTATAGTATCGATGTCGTTTCGTCCAAGTTTTTTTCACATATACGTAACATATGAAGTGCTTGTTATTTATATTACGACAAGCAACAGGTCCTATGACGTACTATGACGTGAGCAACTTTGGATAACAGAGACATATTAACAAATAATTTACGAACAATTTGAGTTATTGAAGTTTTGTTGCAATTTTTTTAATAATAATACTTCAATATTGATAAGGCGTGTGATATACAGCCAATAATAATACAGTATCTGTGCAATATCGACGGTGAAGCAATTCGTCACAAATCATGATAAGCTAAACCGTGACCTGCTTATAAAACAACAATATAAAAAAAAATAATAATAATCAGATTACTTTTTATTCAAATGTAACACTTAATACTTCGTTTTATACATACACACGAATTAACATAACAATATATATATATTTCTTATTTCATTTATTATTGGATACACAAATTAAATTTTATTAAAAGCGATCGTTTATAAAAAGTAATCAGTTTTAGTGGCGCCATCTGTCGTACAAATAAATATAATGATATAGGTTTTTATCTAAATTCACACCTCTCCACTTCAATAATTTATCACATATATATTTACAGTTACATATATTTCTAAAATCAATTTATAATATGTTAAGATTCATATAGGATTTTCCTACGGACTTTGATCATTAGGACAAAGCTATTTAAATAAAAGAAAAAACCTTTATACCCAAGATACTTCGTAGCTGCTAAGTTTAATATTTTTTCCTTAGTAAAATTATCGTACCGTCACTCAATATAATGTGGAGGCATTCAATAACTATTTTTATACGACGTAGTATGTTTTTTTCACATACGAAAACATCTCATATCCAACGAACTTATTCTTATAAAATTAAAGATATTTAAAAACTTCCTAAAAACATATTATGTAGATGAGAGAATTTCTTTTCTATCGTAAACATTTGTTTAACATATTGCCAAACGTGTTAATGTTAATAGAAAGTTGTTTTTCACCAACACACATACATCGGAATGTGATAAACCTGTCACACTTATACAATATATAAAATGTAAGGAACTCATCTAGAGATAATTTAATGAATATATCTTCTCTTCTATATATATAAAAATGGATTGCTGTTCCTTAGTCTCGCTAAAACTCGAGAACGGCTGAACCGATTTGGCTAATTTTAGTCTTGAAATACTCCTGGAAGTCCAGGGAAGGTTTAAAAGGTGAGAAAAATTGGAAAAATTGCCGGGAAAACCCTAAAAACAGCCCTTTTCTATTTCCCATACAAACGATTTTTTGACATTAGACTTGACAACTAACTAATATGTCAATCATTCTGTTCGATTGAAACAGTAGAAATTTAATAAATACCAATACCGGGTTATTGAAGACGGAATAGAGTTTGCCCGGTCTGCTATACCTATATTACTAATGACGAAATTAACGCGGACGAAGTCGCGGGCAAAAACTAGTCATATATATTTAATTTTAATAAACCACTAGAATGACTAAGTATGAACGATATGTAATTGACGCATTGGGTAGAGCACGTACATACGTAAACACTGATGTACATAGTGTAGTAAACTTGTAGTAAGCGTGCAGTACTCGAAATAAGTCACCAAGACTGATCATGAACTCTAAGCATAGGGCACATATTCGAACTATCAAGTTATTTACAAAAAACTTAACTATACATAATGTATGGCAATGTGTACATACAGCTTGTTTAGGAAGTAATATAGGGTGGAAACAGAAGTTCCAGAAAAACAACGAAACTGACTTATACGTATATTATAATTAGAATTACATATTAAAACTTATAACCTATACCTAGGACTACATGATTGTCTCGATGTTAGGATAGCAATACCATTCCATA